AATATCTCTTTTACCTTCACTGATTAGGGAAGAATTGATTGACTTGGGCTGTTGTTATTAGGGATTAATTTGATAGTGTAGATTCTTATGAGTTAGAGTTATCTCTTTGTGCTGAATCTATTTAAAAAGGGGTTGGAGGGAGGAATCAGTTGCAGAGTTGGCCCTTTTTTCAGGAAGCAACAGAACCAAGAGAAGAACAGAATCCAAAAGAGAGAAATACCTCTACACCTACATTATCTCCCCTTCTAGGAGCCACTAATTGTAGACTTGAGGAAGAAATACACTGTAGACATGTACTGTCACCCACAAAGCCCAAAAGAAGAGTTCCTGAACTAGAGTTTGGAAAGAGATTGGCATAACTTCTTAGCCCATATAATGACAGTCATCAAGATAGGAACCATAAATGTACAGGAGAGAGAAGTTTTTTAATCTCAGCTTCTTGGATGGACACCCCTTTACCCACATCTGTGAAAAATCAGACAAATTCTATTCTGCAATAATAATTATATTAGCTAACATTTAGATGATACCTGCCCGGCACTATGTTCAGTACTTTACAACTCTGGGAGGTGGGTGCTATTATTATCTCCATTTTACTGTTGAGGAAAGTGAGGCAAACAGAGATATAAATTGGTAGGGGAGAATGACACTAATATTGAACCTGGTTTACTTAAGTCCAGAACTTCAGGTGCTTGGCTATAGATTTCATATTGTATACATGCAGGCATACACATATTTGACTACAAAAACACTCTTTGCTAAGGAGATTTCAAGTAAAAATAAAGATGTTAAAATTAGGCACTGATTTCCCTTTTTCCTTGACAAATGCTCAAATGCTTAATTTTTTGGTGATGTCTATTTTACCTCTTCAACAGATTTTTGTGTTTTTGCTCATTAATTTTTTTCTGTCACTTTCCCGAGTTCTATGAGAAGATACTCTAGAGACCTACCACTCTGAGACAATGGCTTATTTCAAGACTACTGAGATTACAACAGCCATTTCTGAAGCTACTCAGTATTGTGGTAAGAAGCTTCAATGAGCAGGCCAACTACCCTTAGATAATGACCACTTCCCAATATTGCCATATGTAAGCCAAGACTGAGCAGCCGCAAAGATCAATCTTGAGCATAATCCTCTGCCTCTTGGCTAACCTCCGGGGATAGATCAAAGGTAAGAGTTTTCTGATTACATGTTAAAAGCAGGGCATTTTCTGCCTAAAGACATGATCCACAAATTGTACTGCATATTCCTCATAGACCTGGAAACTCATTCCATGGATGTAGACAGATGAATGAAAAGAAAAACTTTTGTGTGGTTCCTCCTATGTGCCAAATATTGTACTAAGTACTGGAGATACTAAAAGAAAAGTGAGATGGGCCCTGATCTCAAGAGGCCTATATCCTAAATGAGGTAGATAATCCATAAAGCAGGGTTCAGCTGTAGGGCAGAGGGAAGGGAGTTGAAAGATGCCCCTTGGCTCTGCAGCTCATCACAGATAAAGAATTATCTTAGGTTTAGTAGAAACACCCAAAACAAATACATTGAAGCACTTTTTCCTAAAATTTTAGTACCTGTCAGCTGTAGTGTATTCAGACTATGTATTCTGTATTATGCTGTATTAGACTATGAGTTCCTTGAAAACAGGTACATTTTCCCCCTTTTTGTTTTAGTGGTATGGCAGAGACACTTACTTGTGACTGTACATTTAGAGAACATCTGTTATCAAACACTGGGGAGTAGGTTAAAGACTGTTACCAAGGTCACTTAGCTAACAAGGAGGACTAAAACTTTTCTCTAATTCTCACAAACTGTCCAACCTCTCCAAAACAGAAATTGTGAACCAAATACAAGTAATCTCAGCTGTCTCTGTAGTCTAGGATACCAAGAACCCCGAAGAAGGTTAAATACTCCATGAAGATATGCCTATCACTTAGTATCCCCCAAACCCACACCACCTTTTTTTTCCAATGCCTGGAGATCCAAGCTCCAAAATGCAGAATTTCATCCAGGCCACAGTAGCAGCAACATAGGCTGCACTTTGTACTGCTCGGCCAGATGACTCAGGAATAGAGTAAAGGACCCAGTACCTAGCTGGGGCCAGTTCTATCCTCCCAAAAGTCACTTGGGCAGATATCTATGCTATTGAACTGTGAATTACCCAGCATAGGAGGAAGCTGAGGTACTTTGAGATCCAGCTCCCAGGGCAACCCTCATCACAGGGATGGAGGCAGGAAGAAATAAGGTGGCGACTGAAATTGCCAAAGCTTTCAGGAGGAAGAAGCGCAGAGACCTTGAGTATAAGTAGATAAATCAACAAAGGAGGAGATATGGCCTTCACATCTGGTGATGATACAAATGCAGGACAGTTGAACAACTATATTACAAGGACAGCAATAGAGAGACTTCATTGGAAATGTATATAATGGGGCAGGGGTGAAGGCAGCAACCAGATGAAGATGGTGGTGCATCTGGGGTTACAGATTAAACCTCACAGAACCCCACAGAAGTGAATCAATTTTTGTGTGTGGGACTAAATTACAAAGTAGGAGGGTGCATGGAAGGGGAGGAGATGAATACAGGTGAGTATTTGATGTGCCCTGGTCAAGTCAAGGGCTAGCAATGAGAAGAAGGTGACTCAGTGACTCCTTTCAGTCTCATAGGAAGAGGACAGCCTCTAGGGGAATGGGTGAAGAGGGACTGAAAAGAAATAGGGAAAGGGGGGCAGATTTGTTTTGGAGATGAGAGGGGGTACCACTGATGAAATGTTCCTATGAGTGAAGAAAAAGATTTTGTGGAAGGAGATGGGGACCTTGCCCAGGTTATTTCCATGGGTATTTGGTGCTTGAAGAGACCAGTAGTCCTGACTAGGAAGTGAGAAATCCTGAAATAGGACAGTGTCCTATCACCTACAGGATTTGGTATTTTTCTGGGAATGAGGCACAGTAGAAAAGGAAGCAAGCTCTACATGGCAGTTGCAGAACCTGCTTAGAAGGGAGATAGATGCCAGAAAGGGTATCTTGGAAGTTTTGATTTCATGAGGAATGTAGAAAATAGAAAGGGATTGGAGATGTATAGAAGCTATGAACCAAAGAATGAGGCCTAGAAAAGACAGAAAGGAAAGATGAAGAGTAAAGAGAATGAAGGAGAGAAATCCTCCCTGCAAAGGAGTACCAAAAAATGAAATTAAAAACACTAATTGTTGAAGAGGAAGAAAGGGGATTCTATTTGACAAAAAGATAAAAAGAAGGGTAGAATTAAATAACCTTATAAAAGCAAGAAATAAGAACTAATAAGCAAAACTTCAGAAGGAAACAAGTAAAAACAATACTTAAAAACAATATTAGAAACAAGTAGAACATAAACCTAATTCTTACAAATTTAAATGTGAATGGATCAAATAATCCAATAAATGGAAAAAGTGAAAGAAAAGATAAGAAAACAAAACCCCACTATCTATTAGTTAGAAAAATATTCGCAGAAGAAAAAGAAATTACTATGCATCAAATGAATCCAAAAAAGCAGTACTTGCAATGATGCTAGCTGATAGAGTAAAAATTAAAAAGCATAAAAAAGGAAACTAGATTATGCTGAAAGCAAATGCAGGGGAGAGAGTGGGAGAAACCAATATCAGTAATTAACTTATATCCTCCAAATGTCTTCACATCAAAATTCATAAAGGAAACATTCATTGAGCTACAATGATACATAGACAGTAACATAATAGTGACAGGAGACCTCATAGTCCCTCTATCTGTTGTGGATAAGGCTAACAAAGATAAACAAAAGAAGAAATAAAGAACTAAAGAAACTGATAGAATAAAAAGACCTAAGCCATGTATGGCATCTTCTAAACTGAAAAAGAATATGCTTATTACTCAGCACCACCTGGAGTTTTTACAAAAATTGACTACGTATTAGGGCACAGAGGTATTTCATACAAACATAAAAGGGCAGAAATAGCCCAGAAATAATAAAGATAAAACAACATGCCAGAGTTTCTGGGATGCAGCTAAAGCAGTCCTTGGAGGAAAATCATATCTCTATGAACATACATGAACAAAAAAGAAAAAAGGTAAGAATAATTAATTAAATATGCCTATTAGAAAACCACAAAAATACAGAAATAACCAAAACCAACAGCTGGTTCTTTAAAAAGATTTTTTAAATGAATAAATCTTTGGCTAATCAGGGCTGAAAAATCAATAAAATGGCAAACAAGGAAGGTAAAATCACAAACAAAACTGAGAACACAAAAGAAAGAGAGGAATGCCTTCAAAAATATCAAAGACAAGCTATCAGAAAAATAAAGAGAAATTTACTCTTTAACTTTTAATAATTTGGTGACTTTAAGAAGGATAAATAAGTCATTTAGCATGAGACAGCTTCATATTTTAAAGATCTTTGATTTTTCATTTTGTTGCATCTCGAAACTTTTAAAGGAAAATCAAATATCCTAAGGGTTCATAAATATCCCATGCTATATATTCCTCTATGCTTTAAAGTCACCAAAGCAACTAGGGACAGAAACTGCAAAGCTTTGGCAAAGGTAAAATTAACTCACCTGGGCTAAGAAGAAAAGTAGTTGAATGAGGGAAAATATCTTTGTACCAATAATCTCTGATAAGTTTTTGCTATGAAAGAAATATAAACAATTTAAACATACATACCTATGTGTATGTGCATATATATAATAATAGCCACACTGCCATAGGTTAAAGTATATGTCAAAGTATATGAACAAACAGTTGTCAAAATAAGAATCTAAAGAATCAGCTACCACATGAAAGAATGCTCCAAATCACTAATATGAGAAATGTAAAACATTTCTGAGGTTCATCTCACACCCTGCAAATTGGTAAAGATGACAAAAATTGCAAGTCACTTTTGGAGGGATTGTGAGATGATAGACAAGCTAACACATTGTTGGTAGAGCTATGAAATAGGAAAGAAATTTGGAATTATGCAAATAAAGTGACTAAAACGTCCATACCTTTTGAACCAGAGGACTCAGGACTTCCCCAACACTTCCCTTTCTTGAGGTGAGAGGCCCACAGGTGTTCCATGTAGTTTGCACCTATTTACGTATTTTTTTTCAATTCAATCGGGTCCTGGGGGTTTTTGCTCTTTTTTTTTTCCTTTTTGCCTTCAAAAATACTGTACAATGGGATGGCTCTCTGTGAAGGGCAAAGGAGAGATATCATGTAAACTATGATGATGTAAAAAACAAAAGATATCAAATAATTTTAAGAGAGAGTATTACCTCTCCAGCCTCTGAAAATTAATCCCTTAAACTCAGGACACTCTTCCTACCACTTCTATGTGTCAGATCCTGACAATATCACTAACCTCTTCCAGATTCCTTCCCTCATTTCCATCCTTATGCATCTGTACTCCATATGCTGGCCAACTGTCCTGCAAATTTGTATCACAGGAGATTCCCAGATAAATGGCAGTGGTGGCATGTGCCAGCCTTAGAGTGATTAATGGTATTTATCTCTCCCTGTACCAATCAAATGAATTTACTGAAGGTGCTGAAATTCCTAGTTATGGCTTTGTCCAAAAAGAAAAAGAAAAAGAAAAGAAATTAGACTAAAAGAGTAGAACATATCGTGAACCAAATTACTTACATAAAATTGAATCAGAGCCAATCATGCCAGAATCTGAAAGCATTTTATAAACCATATAGACCAACCCATAACTGAACAATAATTCCCTCTACAACATTCCCAATAAGTGGTTGTCTAGCTTCCACTGAAAAGGAACCCATGACCTCCTATGGCAACCATTTATATATTTTGCACAGTTCTAATTTTTACAAAACTTTATATCAAACCTAAATCTGCATTTTTCAAATTCTACCCACTACTCCTACTTTTGTCTTCTGGGGTTAAGCAGAACACTTCTAATCCCACTTATTCATACATAACAGTCCTAAAAATACAGCTAAGTCCTACTTAAGTCTTCCTTAAGTTATACATTCTTATTTCCTTCAGCCTGTCTTTCAATGGCATGGTTTCTAGGCCAGTGACCTGATCTCCTTTTGTATGCTTTCTCGTCTAGGAGAAATTCATTTAGGGGAGTAGGGGAGAGTTGGCCTTTGACCAATCCCTCTCCCTATCTAGGATCTAATGGTAGAAAACAAGAGTCAGGTGACAAGATATTAAACTAAATGTAAAGCTGTATATGAAATGTATATGCCTTTATAAAGTATGAACAATTCTTAATTGACTGAAAGGAGAAGCCATTATTGGCTGGGTGAAAATTGGACATGCTCACTTGATCTGTAGGAAGTTCAGGAAAAACTCAGCTCCTGAGAGAGAATTGACCTTTTTATCCTGATGAGGAGGAGGGGATTTCTCTCTTCTCCCACTCCATTGATCATTGTGTTAGTGGCAGAGCTATTTTTTTATTTTGTTTATTAATAGTGTGTACACATGACACATGGTTGAATTTAATCTGCATTATTAACATTTTCTCCTCCACTTTAAGTCTAGCCAATCAACAAACAAGAAAACTATCCCTGATTTGTATCATTTGCCAATTACCAAGGTATGAACACTCACACTGAAAATTTAACAAGAAACTCTCATGGAACCAAAGAAATTAGATTCAGCATTCCTCTGGGTGAACCACCCTGTAGAGGTATTAATAGAAGAAAATATCTCTAGTAAGATAGATCATCATTCCTGATAAAACAGCATAGATTTATAAGCTAAATTCAGGGAATAAAAACCAGATATGACTCTGAACTCAAAAATCAGGTATTAAAAATGTAAAATAGTTTTTATTTCCAATTTGCTTTAGTTGAATAACATGACTTCCTATATTCCACACCAGTAAATATGACATTAGCTTATAGAATATATGCATATTAGTATAGATTCAGCTTTGACTTCAAAAAACCACTTAAGAATTCTACCTTAGAAGTGCAGGTCCTTATTGGCAAGAGAAAAACATGCCCTGTTTATGACCCAGAAAGAAAGCTTTTTCTCAGACCTGAATGAACCTACACCCATAAGAAATTTCTGATCATTTACCAAACCACCAAATGTGTCACAGTCTATGAAATCCTCAAAACAGAACCACACCAAACAATTTGTCACACTATAGCATGATGGGATAGGATGGTAAAGGACAGCATATATATTAGTATGCAAAGAATATCTCAGTACTTTCCCCTTCATTTGTAAAAGAATCCATAATTCTGCTAGCAAATTGCCCTGTCCAGGGACTATCTCTCTACCTGATGAGATTTCAAATACGCGATTTTTCTTTTACACCCAAATACCTTCTAGATATAAAGCATCTCTCCTCCTCTAATGCTGTAAAAATGCTACTTTAATATTTGATAGGAATTACTCACCCACCACTACAAAACATGCAATAAAAGCATGGTTTTGAGGAAGGGAAAAATATTTTTTGAACAAGTCAGAGATTACTTAATGATCACTCACTAGAATAAAATATAAATCCAATGTCAAATAGTGATGGATTATGCTCCACAGAATGGCCAATATTATTTCCCTCCTTTTGGCTCTCTAAGTTATGTGCTATCCTGGTATGTATGAAACAGTATAAAAGCAAGTGAAAAGCTGAAGGCTGAACACAAATTGATTGATACGACTCCTGGAAACATACTTTTCTGTTTAGATTGTCAGTGATAAATTTAAATATACCTAGGATAGCACCTCTTTTGGAAGGACATTAGTCCAAAAACTGAATTTTCTTACCATTGATTTTAGACAGGACTTGGAATTTTGAAACTATCTGCCAAGGAGACTGCTTTCCTTTTCAAACTGTGGGTGGCTTCCATCATCAGGCTTCATTATGCAGGATCTAAATAGAATTCCGTTCAGAAAGGGGGAAAAAAAGCATTAGAAGAAAGATGATATTTCTAAGGCGGTGTGATTGATATATTCTTAGTTTCTTAGTTACACAACTATAGTTTAAAAATTAAGATATTCCCACCTATAAAATATTCACATTTTGAAGTGCCATCTCCTTCTGTGATTTTCCACTTTGTTGCTAAGTTTTCCCTGTCAGAAATTTTTATGTATTTATCAGGAAGGGATATTAAGGTTTTACTGTGTATTTGTGGCTTGATGCTCATATATGGTTGATTAGGTTCACAGTTGTGATATTAAACAACAAATTTAATGAGGGAGACCAAAATTGTCTGTATTTATATTACATCTGTCAGAGCTGAGGAGAAATCCTAATGACAATTAAAAGGGTTTTTTTTACAGCTATATTCAGAATAGAAAAAAAAACACAATGAAGGGATAGGTCTATATTACTTAGAGAAGAATATATTAATTGATGACAAAGAGAGGGAGGGCATAACTTGATATCTTTCCTCTTCCACATTTGCCATGATATACAAGAGGAATGATATGCAAATTGGAAAATGTGGAGCACATATCATAAAGAAAGGATTGTAAAACTGGAACCCAAGATTGAGAATGGGACTGTTGTTTTTCAGTTGTGTCTATCTCTTCGTGACCCCATTTGAGGTTTTCTTGGCAAGGATACTGGAGTGATTTGCCATTTCCTTCTCCAGCTCATTTTACAGAAAAGGAACTGGGGCAAATAGGATTAAGTGACTTGCCCAAGGTCACACAGTTTTTAAGTGTCTGAGGCTAGATTTGAACTCAAGAAGATTAGTCTTCCTTACTTTGGGCCCAGCACTCCTATCTCTCGTGCCACCTAGTTGCCAATAGACCACAGTAAGCCACTTTAAATTATTTCAATTATCCAGGCTCAAATTATCTTTCAATGTACTGAAAGGATTTAGCATACCATCACAGACAATAAGGGAAATTATAAAGATGGGAAAGGTTCCAGAAAACTGAAAATAAGTAAATGTTGTAGGAATTCTCCAAAAGGTCAGGGGGGAGATGGGTTCCAGAGACTTTTGAGTTTGATCTTCAAACTAAATTTTAGTACATGTGATTTGTGCAAATATGGGTAAGAATCAATGCCCAGAGCCAGCATAGGTTCATTAAAAATAAGACATGTCAGAGACATCTCATTTCCTTTTTTGATAGGATTACAAGATTGCTAGAGCAGGGAAATACTTTAGGCACAACATATTTTCCCTTTAGTGAAGCATTTGATAAAATATTATCTTTGTGGAAAAGCAGAAAAAATATATTAAATTAAACTAGATGATAATATAGTTGGATGAATTCCTACAGGAACTGGCTTTAAATCCCATATCTAAAGAATATTATATAATGGATCAATGTCAACCTGGAAGTAGGGCATTAATAACATGACTCATGGCTTTTTTTGTTTTTTGATCTTGTCTCATTCAACTGTTCTAGTTTTTAAAGGAATTCAAGATGAATGGACTTCATAAAGAATGACATATGGAATTAAATAATATTTTCAAATTTAAAACTTTTTTCAAGCTAAGAGTTGAACCTAATTAAGAGTAAAATTTTGCACAAATGTTGTCTCATATAAACACATGCACATCCCCCCACACTGAAGTCAGATTCTGAAACTTGTTTTCCCCAATATTTAGGAGAGCGTATACCTTTGATTTTTCCTATTTCACACCTTAGGGACCTTCCATTCTTTGATAATCTGTTATTTGTTATCCAGGAATTGCTTTCCTCTGTTTTCTACTCTTTTGTATTCTAGGTCAGAAGGGACTCTTGTACATCAATTGTCTTCTGTTGTTTCTTTTCCCCTTCAATCAAAGTTTTAGAATTGGGCCACCATTGCAGACCCTATAAAGAGAAACATCAAATAGAGAAGTCTTAAGTAAAATTTGCTCAGTTTTCTGCTGTTTGCTGAATTCTAATAGGACTGTCAGTTACTAAATCAGTAAAAAATATTACAATAAAATCTCATTTGTTCAGACCACAACATATCAGCATTTGTGATGTCTCATACAGACTGGATTGTGATCTTTCTCCTCAACTAGAAAATTGTTTTAATTAATATGAATGTATTCAAAGCACTGATGTTTTAGATCACAGTGATTTGTGTAGTTGTTTTATTTTACCTACTAAACTTTAAATGTCTTGAAAAGACCATGTATTCAACCACTGAATCAATAAGTAGTGCCTACTATGTGCTAGGCCTTTTTATGTGAACCTCACATCTTTGGACCAAGAAGGGACCTCAATGGCCATCTTACCCAACATGTCTCTGAAGGAGAATCCCTGTTACAGTATCCTTGACAAATGTCTATCCATGTGACCTTTGCTGAAAGACCTCCAGATGCATTCCACTCCAGTTTTTTACAGTTTTAATTGTTAGGAAGCTTTTTTCCCCCTCAAAACAGGTCCATAATCCATGTGTATCAGTATAAACTGAGAGAGTAGCTAATAGGGTATGTTACCATTGCATGTCATATATTTTGCTCATTTTAATTATGTCATATAGCTTAATCCTTGCTCAAATAGATCTGTGCTATGTTTATATGTAGACAGTAAATTTCGGGCATGATGCCTACATCAGTAATGAACCATTTCTTACCTATTAAAATGTAATGGATTTAATTTTTGTAATGCTATTAAATGCTTACTCCATCTAGTGCCTTCTAATTTTTTCTCAAAGAAAGTATTCCTGAAGCATGGAGGTGATGCTTCTGCATAATCTACAAGTTTTTGGTATTTCTCATTCCTTATTCTTCATCCATATTTTCGAATACAATTCTTGCCATCCTTACCCGTACACATTTGTTCATTGAAGACACCAAGTATCAAAATAGTTGTCAAATTAATTTGAAAAAAAAAAAGGTCCAAAAAATATAAGAAATATAAGCAAAAGACATAAACCTTTATGGAGAATAAGTACAATAGTGAGAGTTAATTGAATAAGTTAATCAAATTATCTCACCCCCACCTAACACCTAGGTTCAGATTAATGGGAATAACAAATCCTGTGAAGTTGACACATGTTCAAATTTTCACTATTTGAAGTTATAATTATGTAAAATATGGTAACTGGTTCCAACCAAATGGAAATATGCTGTATGAATTTGAATAATGCAACCACTTCATTAATCTGGACAAGTCAGCTCTAAAATGCCACACCCTCGTACCTTAATCAGGTGAGAATGTGCCTTAATTGAGTTAAATGATTCAAAGGCATTTCAACTAAATCTGAAACGACCTTGATCAATTTAGATGTTTCTGACAAGTTACTAGATGAACCGAAAGTGACAATGAACAGAAGGTGTGCTTGAATTGGCTGGTGATTGGTTATTTATAAAATACCAAGCCAGTTTGGCTAAAGGAGATTCAGAGTTGAGCAAGCATCTAGTGTTGGTGAGAAAAGAGAGGGTTACCTCTCAGAAAGGAGATGTGAAGGAAGGGAGGAGAGTACCTTAGCTTCAGCATTCTTCCTCCCCTCCTCAACTAGAGGAAGACCTAGAGAAATTTAAATCTCTGGAGAATTTCCATTTTCCCAGAAGCATCCTTGGAACAGCCAGAGGCAGTGGTCACAGGAGGATACAAGAACATACTGGATTCATATACAAAGATCTACAAAGAGCCCAGTGGAAAACTACCCTGTCCCTAAGAGGAATATCTTGAATACTCAAACAAAGGGACTTCCAGAAGCTGTGAGTTATTCCTTTGCCATATGTATTCTTTCCCACTTTCTGCTTAATTCTGTACATACTGTTGAGAGAATATGTCACACACTTAGGGAGGATTTCTTGTAACAATTGTTCTTACTCTAAAGCCTTAGTGTAAACCCTTTTTAAAAAGCTAATTAAGTGATTTGCCCAGGGGGGCAGAGCTAAGATAGCGGGGTGAAAGCAGTGACTTGCTTGAGCTCTCCCCCAAACCCCTCCAAATACCTGTAAAAAAAATGGCTCTAAACAAATTTTAAAGCAGCAGAACCCACAAAAAGACAGAGTGAAACAAATTTCCAGCCAAGACAACCTGGATGATTGATCAGAAAGGTATATCGTGCCATGCTGGTAGAAGAGCACAGAGCTGCGTGGGCGCCCAGGACACAGCAAACCTGGAGCAGGCCTCAGAGGACCGAATCACTGGCAGCTGTGGTGGTTTCCAGACTCCTCAATCCATAAATGCCAAAGACAACTTAGAAGGTCAGTGGGAAAAGTCTGTTTCTGCGGTGCTGAGAGAGGAACGTGGGGTCTCAGTTCCATTCCCCAAGAGTGTCCCCTGCGGGTCAAAAGAAAGAATAGAATAAATGGGAGGTCAGGATAGATTAAGGGAAATAGAGTTAGTTTTTCATAACATGTCTACTATGGAAGTGTTTTACATACCTGCACATGTATAATCTGTATTGAGTTGCTTGCCTTTTCAATGAGAGTGGGTGGGGAGGGAGGAAGGGAGAAAATTTGAAACCCAAAGTTTTAAAGACATATGTTTAAAAAAATTGTTTTCACATGCTACTGGGAAATAAGAAATACAGGAAAGGGGTACAGAAGTCCTGCCCTATAGGAAAATAGAAGGGGAAGGGGATAAGAGAAGGGGGGGGAGAGATAGAAGAGAGGACAGACTAGGGGAAGGGATATTCTGAATGCATGCCATCTTGGGGTGGGGGGAGGGGTGAGATGGGGTAAAAATTTGGAATTCAAAATCTTGTAGAAGTAAATATTGGAAACTAAAAATAAATAAATTTATATTTTTTTAAAAAGCTAATTAAGTCTGGCTGACTGATAATCAACTGACAGTCATAGCTAGAAGCACATCAGTGGGTGCTTATGAACTATATAGCATTAGAAAACTACTGCCAGCCCCTGAGGACTATAGCTAGAACTCTAAGGGGACAAAGTAGCCATACTCTGAAGAACTGACTCATCAATATGGACATGAATTGTGACAGTCACCTCAGAGCATGTGCTACATAAGTAATGACATACCATATTTGAATGAGTCAAAGAACAAGTCAAGTAAACAATAAATATATTAAAGAGAATGTCATAAATAAAACAGCATGCCAAAATTTGGAGAATGAAGGTAAAATGACCTCAAAGGAAAGCCATATCTGAAAACATATTAATAATATAAAATAGAAATATAGATGAATAAAAGTACTAATGAACATAATTCCTAAAAACCAGAAAATCAACATACCCAAGAACAAAACAAAAAATCTTGATTAGAAGAGAAAGAAACAAAATTGAAAAGGAAAAGTCATAAATTGATAAATATAACTAAATGTTGTTTAAAAAAAAATCAACAAAATTGCTAACAGATATAGCTAACTTTATCCAAAAGAGAGAGTGAGGAAAATAAATTACCAAAATAAAAAATACACTAGACAAATTCACAATGAATAGAGGACAAAAAAAATATCTGCTACTACTATAAACATTTATATGAGAACCAAACAGAATTTTTAAAGCAATGGATGATTATCTGAAAGGCATAGTGTATAGAGAGTTGCCCTTGGAGTCAGAAAGACCTGGTTTTAAGTCTCACTTCTGACATATACTAGCTTGGTAAATTACTTGACCTCTCAGTGCTCTAGGCAACTGGGTAAGGCTTGCACAGCATGTGCTTTGAAAGAAGAGGAAGTCCCTCACCAGGAGCTCTCAATACTAATTAAAATATCAGTCCAGCATGAAAAAAAAAATTCCAAAAATATAAAATACTCATGTGAAGAAGGCAATAAAGAGATAGCTTGAAAGACCCAATTCCAGAAGGAAAAGTTGAGCAACTAACAAATGAATTATCAAGAGGAAAAAATGGTCTAGAGAGAATTGTAAATGAGTTGTATCAAATGTTTAAAGAGCAAGTAATACCTAAGTTATGAGAGGCAATATGGAACAATGGGCAAAAGAGTTGAAAGTTCTAGGAGACAGAGTGTTAGACCTGGAGTCAGGAAGACCTGGGTTCATGCCTTACTAAGTATATGCCTCTGAAGAAGTCTTTTTACCTCTTGGTGCACCAGATGATTTAAGACTATAGATTGCAGAGCAATGCCAATCTTCACTGACAGAGGCAGGTCCTCACTACAGACTCTCTACACCAATGAAATTACAGGAATTTTAAAAAGTACCCAAGCTAAAAGTTTCTTTTCAAGAACTGAAGAAATAAAGTTTTCCACCATACTACTCATATTTCACAAATCTGCACCTGACAACCAAACTAGAGTTAGATATGATAGAGAAAGAGAACTATAAACCAATCTCATTAATTTATGTTAATGTAAAATTTTAAAGAAAATCTTAGGAAATTGATATATGCAAAATGATTAAATTATTATAGAGTCTTATTACAGCAGCATAGCCAAAAAATTATACATTATGACCTAATTGGATAGTTCAACATTAAGAAAAGAATTATCATGATTCTCACATAAACAACAAAAATGACAAAAATAACTATTTTCACAATAATAAGAGCCATTTACACAATGGAGTGCCTCATTTATGATTTAAAATACATTATTAAAAGTATAGGCACAGAAAGTGTATTCTTTAATATGATTAAAAACAGATATCTAAAGTTGAGAGCCAGCATTATTTTCAACAACGAAACAAAGGGTTTTTTTCCATTAAATATAGTTAAAAAGTAAGAATGCTCTTCCTTCCCACTATTATTGACATAATTCTAGAAATACTACCAATTGCAATAAAACAAGAAAGAGAAATTAAGTAAATAAATGCCTACAGAGTAGACACAATTATCCTTCAAAAATGATATGACAATTTACCTAAACAACCGTAAAGAATCAACAAAGAAACTCATTTAGACAATTAACAGCTTCATTAAAG